CTTTGTCTTTTATTAAGTAAATGTGTTAATTTCATTTTTTTTATTTTGAAATACTATTTTGAAATGATTTTAAATAAATTGCAATGTTTTGGCTGTTCGAATTTTAAGATTAAAATTGTCATTAGGTTTGGAATCAGAGTTTAAAAATTTTGAAATTTTTTCACGAAATTATCATTCAAAAATAAAAAACAAAAATTTGCTTTATAGGTGACGTGATCGATAACGGGGACATTTACCGTTTTTTGTGTATCATTTTGAAATCTGTGACAGTCATCATTGAGCGGATTCTATCGTGCTGGCGTGGTTTTTTTCGTCTAATTCGAAGATTTCTAATGGCTGCAATACCAGCTATTAAGCTTGTCGAACCAATTAAAAAAGAAAAATCGAAAACTTTTCAGGTATATATTTATATCCTTGTAAAGATTTAAATATATATATTTTTAAATTCCTGAAATGTCACCAAGGTCACCAATTATGATTGCACTGTTAAAGTTATACCAATTGAATTATTTTCTCATATTGTGAGTTTTTCAAGGAGACGTTTGATTCATAGCACTTTTTATCCATCTAATTATTAATTTTACTTTACAGTAAAAAAAAAAATTATAAAATTTTGATAGCTAAATTTTCATGCGAAATTCTTGACTTAAATGGAAATAATGTAATTATTTTTCTTAGTTTTCATTTTTGATTATCATCATTTTATTTATAGCATGCCTACTTCATTTAGAATTAATTATTTCCTTTTAACACTTAACTATTAATCACCCTAAAATGAGTAACTCCATTTTACAACTTCAAGAATTTCAAAAAAAAAAAATGAAATTTTGAAAAATGAGAAAAATGAAAAGTAAAATGTTTGAAGGACCATTTTAAAATGGAATTTTGAAAAATGAAATCTTCAAAAGACCATTTTGAAATAGGAAAATCAAATGATTTAATTTAATTCTATAATAATTAAATCTTGCATAATTTGAAAATTCAATTTAATTATTTGGTTCCGTTTTTTTTTTAGGCTTATTTACCGGATGGAGCTCGTACCTATAGCTGTGTACATTGTCGTGCTAATTTAGCCAATCATAATGAGCTTATTTCAAAGGTGATTTTTTTTCTTCCTTTTTTTTTTGACAAATTTCGAAATTTCATTTTCAAAACTGGTTCTCGCTTTATACTTCTGTACTTTAAATATTCATTTGTAAAATTAATTGATCTTTATTTCGAACAATTTCATCCTATCCGAGTTTTTTTTTTTTTTCACTTTTTTTCTACTTCGTCATTTTCCATTCTTTAGCATTTCTATTTTTCAATGGATTAAAAAAAAAAAATGTCGAAAATTGATGGTAAATATTTCGTTTCTTTTTTTTTTTGCAGTCTTTTCAAGGTAGCCAAGGGAAAGCCTATTTGTTCAATTCCGTGTAAGTTTCTTTTATTTATTTTTTTTTTTTAACAATTCTATTTATTTATCTTTTCAATCGTTTTTCTGTATTTAAAACTTATCTTTGCTATATTTTTCACTTACACATAATTATTCGAAATTAATAATATAAAATAATAATAAAAAATTTGAAAATATAAACATAAAATAATAATAATAATAATTTGAAAATAATAATATAAAATAATAGTAAAAATTTGAAAATATAAACATAAAATAATAATTTGAAAATAATAATATAAAATAAGAATAAAAATTTGAAAATATAAACATAAAATAATAATAATGATAATTTAAAAATAATAATATAAAATAGTAATAACAATTTGAAAATAATCATATAAAATAGTAAAATAATAACAATAATTT